GTCCGGCATCGCACTTGGCCGCTGCGACCTCAAAGCGGACTAGTCTGCACGCCCGGGGGTACTAAAAGCGGACTAGTCCGGTGCACGACGGATCGAACGCGGACTGGTCCACAGGGGTGCGGACTCTATCCGGACCGAAAACGGACTGATGCTGGACTAAACTTTTTCGTACGGGCTTTGTTACTCACTCGACACTACGTAACTAATTATCAGTAGAGCACTTCTGCTGCTCACCTCTTGCTGCTGCCGCTGGTCATTCCCTCCTCGTTCTTGCTCATGGCGTGGAGTCTTGCTGGCCCGGCGGCCGTGCGCCGTTCACCACTTGTTGTCCTCTGCTGGACTCTGCAAGCGTCTCCCGCGGCAGTCCGGCGACCCGCTCACCCCTCTGCAACCCCCCGCGTCATGGCGGGGCGGGGCGGGGCTGGGCTAGGCGGAGAAAGGTGGGCGGGGCGAGAGGAACACCACCCTCGTCTCACGTCCACACGCTGTGCAGCAGAAGGAGCTGGCTAACTCTGTCGACACATCACAGCACTTGTCTCCGTCTCTGTCTCTCTCCCTCTCTCTGTCTCTCTCTCTCTGACGCACACACACTCGCACCGTGCAGCTCGACCGACTATCGAAGAGTCCACTGCGGCTAGCACCTCTAAGCGCATTGACGCGTCGCACCGCACTGGCCCGTGCCGGCCGTCGGCGCACCTAGTCGTTGTGGCGTGGCGGAGCGTGGCAGGGCGAGGCATGGCGGGGCGCGCGCGTCTGGTGGTGACGCGCTCAGAGAACAGCGACCGGAGGAGGATCCGGGAGGCGAGGCCACTTAAGCAGCCGCAGCTTCAAGTTCAAGCCGCGGCCCAGTCGGACGTCCTGCCCGCCCTGCCCCGCCCTGCCCCGCCCCGTCCTTCACGTGCCCGCTCCCCCTAGCAGGCGTCACGCCCGCCGCACCACGCAGCACGTCGTCCCGCTCGTAACGACTGTCTTTACACCTCGTTTGCCATTCGCCCTTGTTCCTTCTCCATTCCCCCTTCCGGCCGGCGTGCGCGGGCTCAGGCTGGCCCCTGCCGACCGCGCCCCGCGCTGCCCAGTTCTTTGGCCCCAACCTCCTCTTCCTCGTCACTTCCAACCCTTTCGCTCCGACTCTTTTCCCCTCCCCTGTCGAAGTCCCAAACCAAAGCAATACCGGGAGCGGCGCAGTGGCACCAGCCGCGCCGCACCGCGCGAATGTCGCAAGCGAACACTGCGTGTAAAGGAGGGAGCAAATTCGATCGAAATAGAGCGAGGCTGTGAACCCAATTTGATGACTCTTTGGGGAGCGATATTAATTACATCGTTAGTTCGGATCGGAGTCAGTTTCGCGACATTTTTGGTTTCAAATAAGACTCATTTTGAGTCATTTTCGCAAACATCGCTCCAACAGAGCAATGGAGCCATTATGTCGCTCTGTTTCGGCAAGAAAACTTGCTCCACGTTTTACAGTGAAGCCGTGGTTTTTCCCTTGTTTGTTGACACTCGTGATGAGGGAAAACGGGCTGAATGAGAAGAAAGGGTGGGGGAGCTGATAGACGTTCACAATTACTCCCGATAAATACCCAGAGATTGGGTGTTTCGTCGGGAATATATATTTCCGGTGCAACAACGGCTGTATTTGTGCGTCGCTATTATGCAGCTCCATTATTCCTCTTTGCAAACGTTGCGTTTTCTCCCCGCGCGTGTCAAGCAGAAAAGGCGGTGGTGGTGGCGGGCAGCCCGGCTCAAACAACGGCGCGCTCGCCCGGCCGCCGCCGCACCGGGCCGGGTGGTTCGTTACAGCCCTGGAGTGCCCCGCATGCAATGCCTCACGGACACATATACACACACACTTCTGAATGAGCACAGGGACGAGCTCCACGGGTCTGCTGCCCGAGGATTTGCTTCCCCCTCTCCCCGACACAACAGCAGCGCCCCGCTGTCGGACCCACGTATACCAGGCGCCTACCAGCGGACGGGTAGGCAACTCTTGCTCCTGTGAGGCGGGTCTGCTCGACTGGCTCGCCTACTCCAAAGCGCCTGTCGGCTGACGGGTAGGCAACCCGTGCTCGTGTGAGGCGGGCCTGCTCGACGGGCTTGTCTACTCCGAGGCTCCTGTCGGCTGACGGGTAGGCAACCCGTGCTCGTGTGAGGCGGGCCTGCTCGACGGGCTCGCCTACCCCCCGGGCGCTCGGCTGCGAGGCGCTGTCAATGTCGCCCCGGGAAATAAAAGTGCCGTCGCCATAACACGCGGAGGAACCGGGGGCCAATATTGGCGCGGTGGTGGAGCGGGCCGGGCCGATGGGCCTACCGCCCTGGCTATAACGCCAAACCTGGATATTGAGCGCGATCTGCGAGGCGCCGGCGAGAGGTTATGGCCCAATCTGGGGGGCGTTTTCATGAGCCGGTAACGAGGGGAGTGGAGTGTGTTGCCTCCAGCCAGCAGAGTCAGTCTCTCTCTCTCTCTCTCTCTCTCTCCCTCTCTCTCTCTCTCGCTCTCTCTCTCTCTCTCTCTGGGATTCTGGAGCTTTGGTACTTTCCAGAAGCCTGCCTAGCCAGTACGAGCCGAGCCCCCAGAGCATGTGTCGCTAGACCATCATTTGGGTTCAGGTTTTTGTCTCGTTTCGTTTTGTTTTTTGTTTCTTTGTGTTTTTTTTTGGTTTTTGTTTATTTCATTTAATCTACATTTTGATTCAGTCTTATACAGTGCAGCTGATGTTTTCCTTGTTTCTGTCCAGGAACTACAACACTTTTGGACCACGTGGACGCTGCGTGTGGCTGCTCCCGCCAGGGACCATAGTAGCAGGTAACCGAAACTGTGAAACCGCGATTATTTAGTCGAGCTAAGGGAGACGTCACCGAGGATCGGCACGTGTCGCCTCGCCCCGGCCAGCCCTGTCGCGTCGCTGACGCGCCTTACGTCACCCCAATCGTTTGCGTCTGCAGCCGACCGGGGGATTGCTTCGACCGTCTCGCGTCCCAAACTACATCGTATATTTTTTTCATTATTTTTTCCCCCATGTCTTTTCTATCTTTCTCTCCTCTCTCTCTCTCTCTCTCTCTCTCTCTCTCTCTCTCTCTCTCTCTCTCTCTCTCTCTCGCTCTCTCGCTCTCTCGCTCACACACACACACGTCGACGCGCTCCCATACGAAAACGAAGGCGCCCTATCCGGGCGGGGCGGGGGGCTACAATTACTTTTGGCGGGAGAATAAAACGAGTTTGAAATCTGCCCCGAACCCGGCCACGCGCTGATGTGGACTTCCGCCACGCGGGGCCCGCACGGCACAGAGCGTTTCCGAATGCGCACACGCCGGTCGTAAATTCCCACGAAAAGAGAAAATTAATAAAAAAAAACGTTCTGCCCCATTTTTTTATTTTTATTTTTTATCCAAAATAGCGCGTGGATATGTTTTGCCCTGCTCCCCGGGCTTTGTTATTTTGTGAACGCGCGCGCAACGCCTGCTGCTGCTGCTGCCGCCTCTGTCTTTTTCCGATTCGTCATTTTTAGTCGAACGGAGCGAAACGCTCCGGATGATTGGGAGGGTTTTTCGCGGGGATGGCTCCATGGCGCGCGGCGCCTGCGTCAGTCACCTGTGATTGACGCGCGTGGAGAGGAGTGGGGCCCGCGGGCGCAACCGGAACAGTACTCAGTACAGTTTAGTTCCCATTCTACGTGACCTTTACGGCAGGACAAAAGTATTATTGTTTCCCCCAAATGTTCACGACCATCACTGACTGGGGTCCATAAGGACCGAAGAGTTTCTGTTTCATACCGGGGTACAAAGGTTAGGTTAACTCGAATGGTGATGTACTGATCCTTTTGGGACCTCATGATACAGGGTGGCCGCTCTGCCCCGTCTTTTTAAAAGAGGTAGACTAGCCCGCCCGCACGACCTCTCCAGTCCCCTCTCACCACGACGGCGTGCAGGCCGGAGGCGGGCATGGCGTGCTGGAAATAGTGGAAGGCGGCGTAGTTGGTGGCGGCGAGGCCGGTGAGGTAGTAGTGCGCCTGCCAGATTCCCCCATGCCGTCCTGAGGGTAGTCGGGAGTTACGCCTCGTGTGTGTGTGTGTGTGTGTGTGTGTGTGTGAGAGAGAGAGAGACCCGCGCACCCTCGCACGTGTAGGGGTGAGTGTTTCACACCTCTGCGGTCCCCCCACCCCCGCCCCTCTTCCCCTCCGCGGCTGCGCCTCCCCGGCGGGTCGGACCAATCTGCTGAGTGTGGTCTTTGGTCGGAGCTGCTCCGTCTTGTAGTGCACTCCCGACTCAAGTTCGGTGACAAGCTTGCCTGCTAGGGCGTGGTGGGGCGCGGCGG